TGGGGCTCTTTTTCGGCTCCATTGGACCATTGTTATTATGCTTAGAGGCACTTCCACTCGTCCAAATAACTCCATTCGAATTGCCATTATTGTTCCTGGACATTCAACGAAGACAGCCACAACCAATGGGGAAGCTCTGATGATGATGATGATGATGATGATGATGATGATGATGATGATGATGATGATGATCGTCCTCGTCGTCTTTTAGGGATTTGTACTTTTTCAAGATCTGATTATTGTCGGCGTGTGAATACAACAGTTGCTGTGTGGTTCTGTTGCAACCATCATTATTGTTGTCTACACTAGTCACTCCCCCATCTCTTAACCCAGTAAAATAATAGGCCTACATGTATGTGATGTCCTCCCACCGTGCAGGAGTGCAATGTCTAATGAAAAGCAAAGCAACATAAGCGTCAGCATCAAAAACATATTGTGAAAGCGTCAGCGTAAATAACAACAACAACAGCAACAGCAGCAGCAGCAGCAGCAGCAGCAGCAGCAGCAGCAGCAGCAGCAGCAGCAGCAGCAGCTATGGTGGTACGGTTAGGCGCCCTCGCCGTCGTCTGCAGAAGATTCCTGTGGATGAAAAATCTTTACACCAGGAATTGGCCCTGACTAGTAGCTCACGAAGAGCATGTATGACACTCCATGGACATATTCCGTCAGACTTGTCAAAAGTTACCTTCATAGCTTTTCCAAAGAAACATAAAGCAAATGAATGTGAAACTCATCGTACCATCAGCCTCATGAGCCACGTAACAAAAATGGGTGACCTTATTTAGGCCACATATGGCCTAAATAAGCTAAACCCCCCTCCCTTACCTTATTTAGGCCACATATGTAGTCAAAATAACCAAACCAATGTAAAGCATTGTTTTCTTTACAAGTTACATTTTTTCCTTCACAGCCGTATCGTACATGACATGAGATGTAGAATCAATTTAAGGTCCTTGGAAAGGTGATCACAAAATAACAAAATTATTTTATGATCTTCACTTGCACTTGCAATTTTTTGGACAAATTAAAGTCTACCTAATTATATTTTTCCCCCCTCATTTTTCTTCACTATAAATGACAACTGGCATGTATTGTTTTCAGTTATTATCAAGAAAGTGGATAGGCGGACTACGGGGTCTATCTAGCCAAAAGGATAGGTGGACCCCTGGGTCTACCTAACAAAATGTTAGGTTTTAGGATGTGAACCCCGGAGTCAGCGTAGTGAAATAAGTAGATCTAGGTTTAACTAAGGATCGGTGGAACCCGGGGTCAACATAATGAAATAAGTAGATCTAAGTTTATTTTATAATAGGACTGGCGGAGCCCGTGGTCAAAGTAGTGAAATTATAAGTAGATATAGGTTTAATTAAGGATTGGAGGACCACGGGGTCAATGTAGTGAAATCAGTAGATCTAGGTTTAATTAAGGATTGGTGGACCCTGGGGTCAATGTAGTGAAATCAGTAGATCTAGGTTTAATTAAGGATTGGTGGACCCTGGGGTCAATGTAGTGAAATAGGTATATGTAGATAGATATAGGTTTAATTTTAAGGATTGGTGGATCCTGGAGTCAACATAGTGAAATAG